GCCCCTGAACGCCCGTTGCACCAGGCACAAACCTCCATCATGCCACCCACCTCCTGCCTCTCGCACCTCCCTCACAGTATATTGACAGTCACTGATTTCCTTGTTTGTGTCTCCCCTGATGTTTCCTAAATTCTGAGAGCAGAAAGCTCCACCATCTCCAGCATTAGCACAATGACTGGCACGTAGTAGACATTCAATGAACATTTGTTCAATGGCTGTGCTAAACCACTCCCACTCCTTATTAGCCTTTGTTTATGCCTAACCAGGCAATGTTTCATTCTGTTGTACCTAGGGTCGCTATGAATCGTAAGTGACCCAACCGTGCCTAACAAAAACAATAACGTGGTTTTGAAGTAGGTCCCTGGGTGGTGCAATGGTTAAGCAGTTGGCTGCTAACCTAAAGGTTCGCAGTTTGAACCCACCAGTGGCTCCAAAGGAGAAAAGATTTGATGATCTGCTTCCATAAAGATTACAACCTAGGAAACCCTATGGGGCAGTTCAACTCTCACAAGAGGTCGCTCTGAGTTGGAATTGACTTGACGGCACCCAACACAAACAATACCATGCCTGCTTGGAACATTAATTTCAGTGGCTTCGTGACTGCACCACCCCTACCAGCCATCCCCATCTCATGGACACCATCTCCTGGGACTGCCAGGATTGTCACAGCGGTTTCCTGTGAAAAGACTGATTGTACCGTTACTGAGAACTCTTCTCAGTGTCAAATCCAGGGACTCACTACTTATGAGATGATACAACTTCAGTACTTCAGCTTTTGATGCTCTCTGGACTAGGCTTAGGAAGAAGGCAGGAATCTTACCACCAGAATGAATTTTCTGAATCCTCTGTATCTTCTTGACCAGCTTCCCCTACAGCAAGGGCTTTTGCCCCGTCTCTCCAGGCTTCAAACAACAAGTGTATCTGCTATCGATCCCCTCCACACCTTCACAGAGTTTCCTTAGCAAGATGCAGCCCTGTGGTTATAACCTGCCTTGTGATTGCACTACCCCGGCCCCTTACCTCTGCCATCCCACTCAGATATTAGCCTCCGCTAGAGCCCTGGTGGCACAGTGGTTAAAGAGCTCAGCTGCTAAT